AGGTTCTGGTTTGATGATGATAGTGTGATCAAAAAAGGTACATTAAATATATACATACATACATACATACATACATACATACATACATACATACATACATACATACATACATATATATATATATATATATATATATATATATATATATATATATATATATATATATATATATATATATATATATATATATATATATATATATATATATATATATATATTATATATATATATATTATAATATAGTGGATGGTGATTCATGAGAGATTTATTTAAGTTGATTATAACATGAAATCACATATATGAAACCATTCATGGAGCCGGTAAAAAGTAAGGGTGCTCCTAAGAAGATCAAACTAACAGTATGTGACAACTCAAACTAACTATCTCCATCCTATTTAGAATATATTGACTCATTTTATCCAGATTCTCCAATTTCATAATAAATAAAATATATTAAAGATGTTTGCATTAGGAATCCATAGCCTTTACCACCTTACTAAAAACCATACACGTTAAAAAGATGCATGTTTTTATGCGCAAATACATTGATCAGATTATAAATGTTAAAGGTGGTGATAATTGTGGTTATCATGTTGTTTCAACTTTGCTAGATAAGGGAGAGGAAGATCATGATGTTGCCTACTACATCTTGTCAAATAGTTGAAGGCACATAAGAAATCATACACGAGACTATAATGAAAAAAAGAACAATATGATAAAATGCACGATACTCTTATTTCTTCTCTTAAAAGTGCAACACTAAGGTTAAAATGGATATGTTTCTCTAAAATGGATCATCTTATAGAAAATGCTTATGACCGAGCGTGAATTAATTTGACAATATATGATTTCTCTTAAACATTTTTCCTACTTCAAATTGGCCCACCTAAAAATCTAACTGGACACATTATATGTACCGGATAACTTTCAAAATCACAACATTATGTTCAAATTTATTTAAAACCAGAATGTCATATATCACGAATATTTCTTGAGTGGACATTTTATTCCACAAAAGAAGTTGAAATTTGATCGAATACTTATTTGAATAGGATTGAAGAGTTTTTCAAATTCAGAGATATTGAACAAGAATCAAATACAAAATGTCAAAGGTGAAAATCGCTCGTAGATTTAGGTGGAGAATTTTTTTTTGTGCATTTAAATGTGTATCGTACAATAGTGGCACATTTTTAAATGTAATGTTACTTAGTTATTTTCATGGATGTAAACCAAACATTTTGATGTATTTAAAGCATGTCTAACATTACATGCGGGGTTTTAAAAAATGGTTAAAAGTGGTATGCGACTACGAAAAAACGCTATCGACAAATATCGATATCGTTATTACATTTTTTTATGTTAAGGAATAAAATGTGGTTAATTTGCACCCCAATCAGTGTCGCAACACTTGTAATAACCAAAATTGTAAAAACTTTTACACAATCACGGCGTTTTTTTGAAACCCTGATTATATGTATAAATATTAGAATTAACGACTTGATGTATTGTATGTCATAAAATAAAATCCATAAAACAAGAACTATCAATTGGTGTGGTAGGAATCTAATTTCAATCTCTAAACTAACAATATATTCTATGTATATGTGATATGGGGAAGAATTCGAATTTCAATATTCAGAAAAATCCTATATTATGTGTATATGTGTTACTAACAGGGAACAGGGACAGATCCAAGGCATTCTGATTGGAGGCAGTTGCCCCCACTAGTTTTTAACTTTGGTATTAATTACTATATGACATGGTAGCTTATGTACTAATTAAAATAGTATTCTGCCCCCACTAAATAAACACACATATCATAAAATGAGAGGAGTTTATTTCCCTCTTCATGTTCTTATTTAAATTTTTATTTGACATTTGTTACTTATATTAAACAAATAGTAGTATATTGGATGTATTTTAATTTTAATAAAAATTAAATATATTTGATTAAAATTTTGATTAAATAAATTTTGATTTTTGTTGTACCTTTAAGTTTAGAAAAATTTATTTTTGATATGACTATTGTTAAATTATATTTTATTTATAGGTTAATTTAATATAGTTTTTTATATTTTAATATAAGTTTGTAGTATTAATAACAGATTAGCCATATAATTTTTTAATCTCATAATAATATTTGTAAAATGTACATTAATAACACATAATTTTTATTAGTACTCTTATATCGGTTAAATAATAATGTTGTCATTTCAATATTTGAATGGTTAAGAATTTAATTGCGTTCTTTTAAATATTTATCGTATCATTATAATAGAATAATATTGTCCCCAGTAGCAAAATTTTCTAGATTCGTCCCTGACAGGGAAGATCTCAATTTCAATATTCAGAGAAATCCCATATGTATTCTTCGAATGTGATAAAAATGTAAAATCTGAATTTCAATGTAGGGACCAACCCTCTGAGACATGATTCATTTTATATGATTTATAATGATCTAAAATTCAATAAATGTCTCAGGTTACACAAACACTCTAAAATGAATCAATATTAATATATTGCATTTGTTTGCTTCAATGACATAAGTTCTCCTTTTGAATTAAAGTTCGCTAATCTAAAATTCAAATTGAAAAATCTCTTACACTACATCGACAATCGAAGAGCAACTAAAACTGAGTATCTTTTACCAATGATTTATAAATCGACAATCGAAGAGCAACTAAAACCGAGTATCTTTTACCAATGGTTTATAATAAAGAATAGATTAAGTGCATCACGTTTAAGTTGAAGACTAACGTAGATGTAAATATTATGTGAAAATTTATTACGCTACTAAAGATCAAATTGAGGTAGATGTAACACTTACTAGATCAGGTGATAAAATGTCGTGATGAAATGTCTTGTTAAGTTTAAGTTAATATAAATGTTATGTATTATATGTAGGGTAGCAAAATGGATGGATTGAATGGATATGAATTAGATTATTAATAAATGGATCAAAACAATACATTAATCTATTAACAACCTACTATGGATATCCATCCATCCAACTTTTTTTATATTTCAAAAAAACAAACATATTTTTTTATTGTTCAAAAAATCGTTTTTATTTTATTTTTAAAAAATTCATTTTTTGTATTTTAAAAAAATTATTTTTAATATATTCATGAAAAAATTGAATTTTTTGTTTAAAAAAACCATTTTTTTTTATTTTTAAGAAAAAAAATTGATATTTTAATTTTAAAAACAAATCAGTTTTTTTTGGAAACATTCGAATTTTTATACTTTCCAAAAAATTGGTATTTTAATTTTTTTAAAAACATTTTTTTTTTAAAAATGGGTTTTTTATTTTGAAAAAGAATTGTTTTTTTTTTTTTGGAAAAATTTCATTTTTTTTGTTGAAAAAAAATTAATCTTTTTCTTTAAAAAAAATTATTTTTAATTGTTTTTAAAAAATTAATCCATTAAATACTTAAAATATATTGAATGGATTGAATTAATACATGCATATAAATATAAATAGATGAATTTAATTCAATTCATTAACTTGCTTTGTATGTAGTTGATTTGTATGTAGTTGATATATATATATATATAAATATCAATTAGGAAGGCAATTAGTTGGTCAAAAATTTCAATTTGTATGGATTTAATTTCAATTTTAACTTGCCTTGGCGTGTTCTTATATATATGATAACAGAGATTTTATTTTAAACTACATTATCTTATATTCTGGTATTGCTGGCGTGTTCTGTGTGATAACAAGGTGACTCCAAATTTCAATATACTGACAAACCCCTAAACCAAATTACTTGTTTGTATTGAGTTTATGATAATCCAGATGAAAAATGATTATAAAATCCGAACAAACCTAGAGCAAATTGTTAGTTTGTTGTGTGCTCTATCTACGTGATAGCAGATAGCAGAGGATGAATTCGCCGAATTTCAATTTTCAAGTATTAAAAATACTTTAGAAATTTCACCAAAGTGAGTTAGAGATGTAGTGAACAAATCCTCAATGAGAATCCTCGTCGGCCCAGAGTATGTTTAGACCAAATCCTACAAGATCTTACCGGCAAAGAAACATTGGCATCCCTAGCTCTTCTCACTCCCAAGCCGCCTAGTTGCTTAGGAATAGAAACTGTCATAACTGACTATAGATACCCTTTCCTCTAACTTCCTTTCCAAGTTAGATTCCTTGTTACTTACGTATGATTACAAACTTAAAGGGATCCAGAACAATTGCACGTGGTAATTAGGAATAGTTGACAGAGCTTAATTGGTAAGGTAAGCATACCTTGTTAAAAACTCCATGCTTCCCAAGATGCCAGTCTTAATTGCATTTCCCAAATTCCTTTAGGCAACTAAGGAGGTGGGCCATGCTTATATTATCCTTTTCCAAGACAATTCTAGATTGTTTTACATCAACCGATAGGTCTAAAATCTTGTAAAAAGCCTAACAATCTGCAAGAATAATCTAAAGCCTAGTGATTGTTCTGCTCAAGGTGAGGGTATAGTGCTGACGTAGATACCAGTTCGTACTCATTTATTTCCACTAGCAACATCGAAGAAAGAACTAGCTTTACTAAGAATCAATTTAGAAAAAAGTGCTTATGGAAAGAGTGACCAACAGAATTTGTTAAAATAAAAAGGGTCACTATAATTATTATAATCCATACCAGCACTTCAAATTTAATAACTCTCATCAGATCAGGGTCCAAAACAGAGTTTCAACCACCATTTAACTTATTTTTGCTAGGAATATAAAACATAACAGAATAACAAAATTAGAAGCAAAACTGAGATGTCATCTATAAAGAAGAGAAAACTCAACAACATTTGTCTTACCCGCCGCCATTCACCCCCAAAAATGTCAATTGCAGTAAAAGCAAAGCAATCGGGGATAAACAACGGAACAAAGAACCTAAATTTACACTTTAAACCATCAAATAAAATTTACAGGAAATAAATTAGCATAGTTCTTTCCTGCTTTCAGTTCACTACCAAAATTGAAAACAAAAGTAATAGGCGAAAAGTGTTCACTTGGCACCCAAGGTTGGGAAATGACCAGGATCTTCAATGGATGGGGCGGGTACATTGCTTGTCGAATTTCCACGGAAACCTCCAAAACCTCCTCTTGTACCACGGCCGCGTCCTCTACCACGTCCACCTTGGTTGTAATAGCCTTCACCTTCAGCTGGCTTCAGGAACTCATTGATGCTGACAGACTAAGAATAATATGAATTTCAGTTAGATAAAATCATCAACAAAATCAGAAAAACAACTGACATTTTAAAACTAGCAAATACCATAAAAAAACATGGCATGTAGTATTAGTTTTCATTCCAAAATAATTATATATTTTCCTTGCAACAACTCACCTAGTCCAGGTATTTCTATGATTAACTCACCGACTCCAGGTAATTTAAGTTGAAAAAAAAATATCATTATTTGTAATAAAGATGTATTATTAAAAAAGTGATTCCAAAAATAACACAAGTAAGAATTACATGTGATAAAAAGAGATTATCTTTCGGTAAAAAAAATTGATTACCAAATGAAAGCGATAATAATAGACTAAGCATATTCTACAAAACTAACACATCCGAAAATAACAGTTACAAACAAATATGACGGGTTATAAAAAAATAATCCTTTAATTTTACACGACACGAGTAAATCAGTTAGAATCATAAAGATGAACAAACAGCATAAAATTGATTACCAAATGAAAGCGATAATAATAGACTAAGCATATTCTACAAAACTAACACATCCGAAAATAACAGTTACAAACAAATATGACGGGTTATAAAAAAATAATCCTTTAATTTTAAATGACACGAGTAAATCAGTTAGAATCATAAAGATGAACAAACAGCATACAATTTCAAGAAGGCTAGGCTAGCCAGACATGGACAGACACAACTTAAACTAATCTTTCAAAGCATGTTAAGAGAGTAAATTGTTTTAATTGAGCAGAAGAAAATAGTAAACATGAAGTTATAAATGCAAAAAAACAAAGTCGAGAAAATTTAAAAGAGCAAGACCTTTTTGGCTTTCTCCTCTTTGTCAAGAGCCTCTTTGCGCTTATCCTTATCAGATCCCTAGAGCAAAGATAGAAGTTTAACATGACATTAGTTGATATTTCACAGACAAAAGTATACAAATATCAATTAGGAAGGCAATTAGTTGGTCAAAAAGTTCTTACCAATTTAGCAAAGATTTCAAAATTGTCCTTCTTGCACGATAGGGCCTGCATAGTTTCAAACTCTTTCGCGTCAACCTTTCTTTCTTCAGTCTTGAGTGCTTGCAAAGCCTTTCTTTTCTCTTCCAGCAGTTTCTCATATTCCTCCAAAGTCATCTCCTAAAAGCCAAACAACATAAAAGAGCTTACTAATTAATAATTTCAACATTAAAAACAAATTAAATCAAGTGGAATTCCTATTCAAATCAAGGGGTTAATGGAATGGGAATATGAGAAATCAAAGCCTTTTCAAATGATCAGGACATTGTGACGGTCAATTCACCTTATCTTCCGGCTCTTTTTCTTCAGCTTCATTAACAGGACTATCCTTGTTACCTTCAGCAACATCATTTTCAGCAGCAGGCTTCTCATCACCCAAATTCTTTTCAGCTTCATTGACAACTTCATCGGTTACCCTGCATAAATTTCTCAAACAAGTAAATATAAACGTATAAACAATATCTACAAGAAAATATGCAAGCAAATACTACACCAACATCCAAGTTTTATCCCTCTAGGTTGGGTCGGCCCCATGTAAGCAAATAATATACTAAAAAATTATGGAACCGGCGGTTCGTTAGACGAATGCTTACTGGGTAACTTCATCATTTTCTGTCCCCCAGTTACCTCGTCCAGCACCTTCACGTTTGAATTCGCTTCTACAATAGCACAAAGAAAATCAATATACATAGAAATTAATAGAAAACCCAATAAACAATTATGTGGCAATCAATAACATCACCCTCTCCCAGTGCCACTATGGCGTTCAAATGCCCTTCGAGGTCTTCCTTCTTCACCACCTTCACCATTGCTGAAACCTCCACGACGACCTCCACGATAGGCAGGTCGTGGCCCACCAAAGCTACGTCTCTCAGAAAACTTATCCCCTTCAAGAGCACCCTGACTATCAGGGGCTCTAGAGGCAGGGAATGAGTTCTCGTCGTTTGAAGAGAAGTCACGACCAAAACCGCGTCCACGGCCGCCACCACGTCCACCTCCAAATCCACGACCACCTCCTTGTCCACCACGACCTCCTCGACCTCCTTCATTCCTGGATTCCCTCACTGAAAAAATAATATTAACAAAATAATGTGTTAAACACACAACAACAACAAAGGTTCAAACCCTAGGTAAGATGTTTCGGTGCCATAACCAGGTTTTTTTACCAACAAAAATGTTCAAGATATACACAATTGAATATATCAAACAGCACATTAACAAAATGCTTAGAACATTAATCAATCAAATGAACATCGGACAAACAAATTCATTATAAAAACATTAGAATCCACACACAAAAAAAACTTAACAGCCTCCTTCATTCCTGGATTGCCTCACTGTCAAAAACATAATATTTGCAACAAAAAAAAAAATTGTGTTGAACACACAACAATAACAAATGTTCAAAGTCTATGTAACATGTTTCAACAATTGACCTACAAAAATGTTAAACATATAAACAATTGACTATATCAAAACAGTGCATTGACATACTAAACATTAATCAATCAGAACAACATCTTATTCTTAATTAAAAACAATTTCATTAAAACAAAACAACAAAATCCACAAAATACAACACCAAATCCAACAAACCCCATAACTAACCAGCTTGAGCGGGTGGAGCCGGCTTAGAAGGAAGCTGAGCCGGCTTATTCGGCTGAGTACGCTTTCCCTGGTCCTTCTCAGCAGGTTTCTTCAGAGGAGCCGCAGCCGCTTTGAGCTGTTCGGTTAGGATGAGCTGAGAAGGGTCCTCAACATCATCGCCAAGCAAATCAAATGGATTCGTAGTGGCCATCTTATTCGTGAAGACAACAAGAACAACAAAAACAAAGGACAACACTCAGTTTCACTTCCCACGATAACTGTAACACTACGCTTGCAATGTTTCCATAGTACTACAAACTGAGGGTTTAGATCGGAGAGAGAAGAAGAACAAGACAAGGGTTTGAGAAACGGTGAAACTGAAAACCCTAGCCGCAAAGGAGAGAGAAAGAGAAGAGAGTGTGTTGAAGTGAGAGAGTGAAAGTAATAGACTGGAATTAATATCAAAGATTGGATTTTATTTTGGAACTTTCTAGGTGTGTGATCTATTTTTTCACTTATTAAGTAGAAATAAAAATATTATAATAAATTTTTTGTAAATTAAATTGAGTTTAAAATAATTAAAATGTGAAGTTCTTTATATTTATATTTAAATGTATTTTAACCTTTGGAGATTAATTGAAATATATTGAGTTAAAAACAATTTTACAGAATTATTTAATTAAAATTAATTATTTTAATAAATAAATTTAAGAATTAAAATCAAAATAATATATTATAATTAAATTATTTTAATAACCGTTTCTTCCACGTTTATCTCTCTTCTTTTGAGTTTATGTATTAAAATAATTAATTTTAATGATAAGACCATTTAAAGTGATTTTAGAGTGATAAGTGATAATGTATTTCAATTAATGTCTATGTCCTTATAAAAAAATTTAAGAATAAATTTGAATATGAAAAATTGCGTTTGAAATTTTAAATATATAAATTTTTAATTTTTAATTAAAATTATTTTTTAAATGAAATTCATCATATTCAGATACATTCACAAAATTAATGTAAACTTAATTTTTATAGAACGTCAAAAGTTCGAATTTGCCTCCATGTAATTTAAATTACTAAAAGCAATTTTAGCTTTATTCAAAAATGAAATCACAACCATAAAATGATTGTATCGAAAAAAAATATACATTAAAATAAGAGAGTGTTTGAATATATGGTAGAAGGTTCTTAAATTATTACGAGAATTATAGATATAAATTGATAACTATGAGGTAGAAGATTCTTAAATTATTACGAGAATTATATTCGTGCTGGTATCCGCTAAGCAGATAATATGCACGTTTTACAATGCCCGTGAATATTTAAAGATATTCATTGATAACATTTTTTTCTAAAACTATTTTTTGAAAAAAAAAAGTTAGCTTTTTTTAAAGACGCAAAAAAAATATTATCACATAATATTCATACAGTTCGCTCTCAATTTAACAACAAAATTTATCACATTAAGTTCTTTCTTTTTCACCAAATATAATATTCATACATTTCATTTTTAACCAAAGCAAATAAAAGATATTGTCATTGAATTATGGTGGAAGAACGGACGACTGGGGAGTAGGAAGGGAGACACTGGTTGGACGAAGAAAAAACGGTAGTGGTTGGTTAGACAGTGGAATTGTTGAAATGATGTATGGAGTTTAGAAGAGGCTCAAATATAAAAGGCAAATAGAGTCTGTATGAATTGTAAAGTATTTTCTTCAAAGAAAACTTTATATATATATATATATATATATATATATATATATATATATATATATATATATATATATATATATATATATATATATATATATATATATATAAATACTAAATTTTTTATAAGATGAAAAGATAAAGTATAATAACCAAAACAAATGAAAGATATTGTCATTGTGAGATAAAGTATTATTTGAATAAAACTTTTACTCTTAAAGATATAAGAAACTCCCAGAAAGTCGTGTGATTGAGCTGAATGAGGATTAACCAATAAGAAACCCAAAGTTCATTACTCTTAAGTCTAAGAGCAAGATGATCAATGTTAGAACATTTCAAGTTGAAGAATCAGAGGAATATCTCAATGAGTTTGGTGAATAATTGATTCCTCGTAAAAGAGTTCAAGTACTTTAAAGAATCTAGAGACAAGAAAGATTGTGGCAATAAGGTGATCTGATACAACTGCAAAGAGTTAGAAAAATTCATAAATCAATGTCTAAAACTAAAGAAGTAGAAGCTTAAGAAAAACAACTTCAGAGCAAAGAAGAAAAGTTTCATGGCGACAACGTATGATTTTGACCAATCCTATGATGAAGACGACAAAGAGCATCATAATACTTTTCTGATAGCCACAACTGATGGGTCATCACAAGGGAGAAGCATAAACATTGGATCAAACATTCACCTAAAAGTCAAAGACTCACCCAAACAAGTGAGGGAGACACTACATATTCATCAAAATTCTTAAGGTGATAGGTGTATGGGTCCTTGCTTATAAAGTGTTTAACCTCCACTTTTCTAAGCAATGTGGGACTTAAAACTCACACTTGATTCTCAACAACTCACATTTATTTCCTAACAACAACATCCTCTAGTATGCATTTGGATGACTTGACATACGTAGATGATAATAATGAGGTATTTTCTCATTTACCACATGATGAACTTATTCTTTTCTTTTTTTTTAAATTAATTACTTGGCAAATATCATAAAATATATAATAAATACAAAGGTTTTAAAAAGATATATGGTTTTTCATTAGAAGACTGTGAAACTTTGGACAAAGAAATTGTTGTTTTAAAAACTAAAAAACAATACTTTGAAAAATCATGCAACTCAAATCTCCAAAGTCGGCGAATATAATTTTGATAAGTACGAAAAAAAATTTCAATAACTCCTAGCTAACAACATAAACAAATGCAAGATAGCTCTATTGATCTATAGGGTTTGTGTAACAGCCCAATTTTTCCTTAATTGATTAATTGTACTAATTAATTGGTTTATGTGATTTATCTGATTTAAATGGATTATTGGATTTATTTAATTCATATATGTTAATGGATTTAACTGATTTATCCTATTTGGAAGAATAATGTGGATTTAATAGATATTCTCTATGTTAATGATAAGATGAGATATTTTGGTGAGAAAAGGAATGGATAGATATTTTGAGAGAAGAATTATGGTGGAAAGAAAATAGAAGGATATAAAAGGAAAATAGAGAGAAAAGAAAAGAGATAGAAAGAAAAAGAAGGAAAAGGAGAGAAAGAACGAGGAAGAGGAGAAAAGAGGAAGAAGAAGGGAAAAGCTTGGAAATCATCAATAACGACTTCTAGCTTCCGATTAATCAAGGTAAGGGTGTAAAATATTGTTATCTTACCAATGTATGTGATTATGTATGGATTGTTTGGTTGTTTTTCCTCATTTTCCATTCTAAGGCAAAAGATGTTTAATCGGTAGGAACTGAGTTTCTACTGTTAAAAATGAGGATAAGTGGTAGTATTTAGTCGGGGGATGTTAGACTAAGGTTACGGAACTTGTTCGGTGAGAATCGGTCGGTTTTGGAGAGTTTGGTGGAAGTTGGACAGTGAAGGTTTGAAGTTCGCAGACATTCGCTAGCGTGTTCGCTGAGCGAGCTGGTAGCGAATGTTCGCTAAGCGAGCCAGTAGCGAACGGTCCCAGACTTGGGCAGAATGCATTTTTATGGTGTTTGCTGGTAGCGAAGGTTCGCTAGGCCTTCGCTGAGCGAGCGAGGTAGCGAACCAAGTCAGTAGCTTCTGTTTGCCTTCGCGAGCTTGTTCGCTGGGCGAACAAGTAGCGAATACTCGCTATGGGCTCGCTGAGCGAGCGTAGCGAGCATGACAGATTGTGATTTTCTTGGAGTTTCCATCCGAGGTTGGTTTTCCGATTCTAGTATGATTAACCTTTCACCTTAAGACATAGATTATGTTGTGATATATATGTTGTGGGTAGCCGTATGACGTGAATCTTAGATTGTTGAATTAAATTGTATTGTGGTCTTTTGACAAATGTAATACATTGTTTAAGTTGATTAAAAATGTATTAAGAATGCATGAGAACATATTGTGAATATGTGTGCATTGCTTGTGTTTACGTGTTAAAAGTGCATGAGAACATATTGTGAATATGTGTGCATTGCTTGTGTTTATGTGTTAAGAGTGCATGAGAACATATTGTGAATATGTGTGCATTGCTTGATAAATAAGATGATTTAAAGTATGAATACTTGAATGATATGAATATATTGTATGTGCAATCATGTTATAATTCTTGAAGAGAGGAATTATTTGAATGCATGAGATTAAGATGTCGGTCTTAAGTGTATTTTGTTGTTGATTGCATATGCATCATTTAGTCAAGAGGCAATGCTTGCTAGTTTCGTGGAAACTAGTGACTTGTCCCAAGCCTAGAAGAGTGGGTTTGAAAGCTTAGAGGACGGGCTTTTGGTGGTTATCGGTCTAGAAGAGTAGACCCGATTTAATGTAAACCGAAAAAAAGATAACAAGTGTTGGTACCACATGGCATGAGTTTGCATTAAGTTGTATTGAGTCACATAGCATGAATGTCATTGTTATATGAAATATGCTTGTGTGTGGAAATTGTGGATTATGGATGTGTGCATGATGAAACATGTTTTATGATTGTCCATATTTGTTTGTGTATATATGTTTTATGAAGTATATGATGGGTTATGATGAAGTATAGTGAGAATGGTGAAAATATGCGTATGTGTATGACGTGTGTAAATGAGAATTGTGAATACATGATTATTGTATGGAAGTATGCTTACAAGCATGAATTGATGAATTGAGGTTTGTAAATATGTAATGGTGAGTGTGCAACTGTGAGTTGGTGAATAATCCTAATTGTGTATGGATATGGGGATTGGTGAGAATTGATGAGTTTATATGAGTCTTATGGTATATGTGATTGTTGTATGAAAGTGTGCATATGTGTGTGAGTTGTTAGGATTGAGAATTATGGATGTGTGCATAATGAAAAATGCTTGAGTGAATTATCCATATTTGTTTATACACATGTTGTGATGTATATGATGATTATAATGAATTGTGGTGAGAAAATGTGGAATATGTGTATTATGTAATTGTGCATTTATATATGATTATATGCATTGTTATTATGATAATATTTCTCACCCTTCTGCTGGAATGATTTCCTACATGACATCATGCAGG